CTAGTCTGATACTTTTACCTTTTCTGTAACAGTAAAAATAACATTTTATTGAACTGAATTTAATTGAGTAGATTCGTTCCTCCTTTTTTGGCCATTTTAGTATCTTCGGTAAATATACAGAAAATTTAATTGAGACAACTACAAAAATACCATTTTTTGTGTGCATTTTTGCAATAATGCCACTTAGAGGTGTCTATTTACAAAAATGCCATTAATTATAGAATTATAAATCCTATATCTTAAAATTCTAAACCCTAAAAAATATTTTGACACATAAAACCCTTTAAACACTCAAAACTAAACTCTAATAGAACATAATTAACCCAAACATAAATAATATAAATTTTTTTTTTTGAAAAAGTGGCATTTTGTGAAGATTTCAAAAATATGGCATTTTTGTAAAGTGGCACTTGAAAAATGGTATTTTTTGAAATTTCTCAATTAAATTTCACAGTAAATATATAAACTAGAGTAAAAAACATGTAGTTGACGATATTAACATCTCCTTCCTCCTATTAAAATATAAGTACTATTATTTAATCTCCTTAGCTGTTTTAATTTAATTAGACTAAAATTATGACATGTTTTAAGAAAAATGATGACATGGCTTAAGTTATTCATTTTTCTTTGCTAATAATGTATTTACAATTTGAAAAAATAAATAATATGGAATACACGATATACTTAATTTGAAGATTATAAGTTTGTGGTTTAACGCTAACTAACTATTGATACACAGAAATTAATATTCTTTACATTAACAAACATAAGAAACATACATACACTAGGTAATTAATATTATAAAATGATAAAACCTCTAGCAATAATATTAAATATGTTTGTTAAAATATAAAAAGTATATAAAGAATATAATCACAACCGAAATATAATATATATATATATATAACCACAACAATAGTCTATTTTAATTGTAGATAATATAATCATGTCTTAGTTAACGAAAAACGTTTCTTTGGTAACAAAAAGATGCCATAATTTAATGATTTAAAAAACTCACAAATTTTTAAATCTTCAACAACAAATTTATTCGTTAAGAATCGAGATTTCCGTAAAAACTAAATCTTTTGATCCAAAATTTGAATAAATAATAGGGATTTTTATGTGTTTCCGGATTTTTAGCAACCAATAACCCATCATCAACATACCCTCTCMAATATTTATGAGATTAGCATAATCGAATTTAGCTCCGTAATATTTGCAAAAGATCGAATATTTGAAAAAAATACATATATATTCTTAGATATGTACAGTTTGAAATTATAAAAAAAATAATTAATAATGAGAGAATAAACATATATTCTATAATATATCCAAATATTTAGAAAATTTGCTATTATTTAGAATCGTATTGAGTACTCCTCCACTCACAATATAGACAAACACTGAAGCATATCAAACATAGGAATGTTTATGTATTTCTTTTTTACTAAATAGTTTATATTTATTTTATACGTTTAAATGTACTAATTCGATTTGTTTTGTATTCTTTCTATACGGTTGAATGTACTAATTCAAATTTGGTTTTAGTTTATGTAGATAACTTAAAGAGATGAGGGAGATTCGAAGTATCTCAAAGAAGATGTTGTAGAGTATAAAACGTCCGAAAA